ATATATATATATATATATATATATATATATATATATATTACATCTTTTTTATCCATTCATCCATCGATGGACACTTGGGCTCTTTCCATACTTTGGCTATTGTTGATAGTGCTGCTATAAACATTGGGGTGCATGTGTCCCTTCGAAACAGCACACCTGTATCCCTTGGACAAATGCCTAGTAGTGCAATTCCTAGGTTGTAGGGTAGTTCTATTTTTAGCTTTTTGAGGAACCTCCACACTGTTTTCCAGACTGGCTGCACCAGTTTGCATTCCCACCAGCAGTGCAAAAGACATCCTCTTTCTCCGCATCCTCGCCAACATCTGTTGTTGCCTGAGTTGTTGATGTTAGCCATTCTGACAGGTGTAAGGTGGTATCTCATCGTGGTTTTGATTTGTATTTCCCTGATAATGAATGATGTTGAGCATTTTTTCATGTGTCAGTTGGCCATCTGGATGTCTTCTTTGGAGAAGTGTCTATTCATGTCTTTTGCCCATTTCTTCACTGGATTATTTGTTTTTTGGGTGTTGAGTTTGATAAGTTCTTTCTAGATTTTGGATACTAACCCTTATCTGATATGTTGTTTGCAAATATCTTCTCCCATTCTGTCGGTTGCCTTTTAGTTTTGCTGACTGTTTCCTTCGTTGTGCAGAAGCTTTTTATTTTGATGAGGTCCCAATAGTTCATTTTTGCTTTTGTTTCCCTTGCCTCCGGAGATGTGTTGAGTAAGAAGTTGCTGCGGCCAAGGTCAAAGAGGTTCTTGCCTGCTTTCTCCTCGAGGATTTTCTGGCTTCCTGTCTTACATTCAGGTCTTTCATCCATTTTGAGTTTATTTTGTGTATGGTGTAAGAAAGTGGTCCAGGTTCATTCTTCTGCATGTCGCTGTCCAGTTTTCCCAGCACCACTTGCTGAAGAGAGTGTCTTTATTCCATTGGGTATTCTTTCCTGCTTTGTCAAAGATTAGTTGGCCATACATTTGTGGGCCCATTTCTGGGTTCTCTCTTCTGTTCCATTGCTCTCTTCTGTTCTTGTGCCAGTACCATACTGTCTTGATAATTACAGCTTTGTAATACAGTTTGAAGTCCGGGATTGTGATACCTCCAGCTTTGGTTTTCTCTTTCAAGATTGCTTTGGCTATTCAGCGTCTTTTCTGGTTCCATACAAATTTTGGGATTGTTTGTTCTAGCTCTGTGAAGAATGCTGGTGTTATTTTGATAGGGATTGCACTGAATATGTAGATTGCTTTGGGTAGTATCGACCTTTTAGCAATATTTGTTCTTCTTATCCAGGAGCATGGAATATTTTTCCTTTTTTTTGGTGTCTTCTTCAATTTCTTTCATAAGCTTTCTATAGTTTCCAGTGTATCAATTTTTCACCTCTTTGGTTAGATTTATTCCTAGTTATTTTATGGTTTTTGGTGCCATTGTAAATGGGATCGATTCTTTGATTTCTCTTTCTGTTGCTTCATCGTTGGTGTGTAGGAATGCAACTGATTTCTGTGCGTTGATTTTATATCCTGCCACTTTGCTGAAAAAGACATTTCCCTTTTAAACAGAACAGGCCACAGGGCATTTTTTATTACATACAAAGAAAAATCTTTCCCCCAACAGCCCACAATCCCTAAAAAAAAGTTCTCAGAGACCTGGCCCAAAGGCAATAGGTGAATCTTTGCAGCATTTATGCCTGTGTCCTGATCTGTTTAAGTCTCTTTCCAGGAATGGAGATCATTCTGCCTCAAAAGGACGCAGTGTCCACATTGTAGAGGAGGTTGCTGTGAGAAGTAAATGAGATGAATCCTTTTCAGAATTACCAAATAAAATCCGTGCTGTCTAGTTGACAATAGGTTTACAACCGATGGGAAATACGTACGAACCAACCCTCCCTCCCCCAAACCTTAGACACTTCACTTCCTGGTTCTTCTGCCCCTCTCCATGCCCAGGGCTTATTTGTTGTGGGCTTTGCAATGAGCATGAGCCAAAGAACTGAAGTCTCTGTGTCACCTCAAGTCCAATCAGACTACTTTTTGGGCTTACATGGGCATAGGCGACTTCCTGGTAAGACTGTAACCTCTGTAGTACTCAGCCGAGGAATGGGGGGGGGGGGACTTCACACTAGGAGATAAATTGCCTGTATAACCCCCCTCCCCCACCCCAGGGTGTCTGTCCATCAGACACCTGCTCTCACGTGAACTTTAATTAAAGCTTCGCTTCACAGCGCTCCGAGTCTCCGCGTCCCTCCTTTGGTGGAGGAGTTGCCTCTGGCTTTGAACTGGCCTCTGCCCAGATCCAATGCAGGTTGTTTTCACGACCAGGCAGGTTTGGCCTGGGTACCACACTGCACCACAAAAGACTTTCAGGTGTACCCAACGGGTGACTTTAGCTTGGGATTCCATGACTGGGTGCATAGCGGGAAGCTAAATAGAACTTTTCCCCACCATCCCAAAGCTGAGTCTGTAAGTAATAAATGATGTCATCTGGAGGTTGGGTCCAAGAGCAAACAGCCAAGAAAGAATTCTTGAGATGTTTTTGGTGCAAAAAAAAAGAGTGATTTTATTAAGGTCCGAGGACAGAACTCGTGGGCAGAAAAATCTGCATTCTAAGTGTGAGGAGTGACTGATTGTGTAGGGCTTTTTATCCTATGAAGGGAGGAGGTGATGTTAGCGCTCCGAGAAATTGAGTCTATAGGTTTCTGGAGGTCTGACTATTCCTAGGATTGTGCTTTCCTTGTACATCACGAAGACAGTTACAAACTGATGGAGTCTTATGTCCTTTATGACTGTGATCTTTATCAGGTGACCATTGGCTCTTTCCTTCCTTTGGTCACGAGTCTGAGAGATGTCCCATGTGTCCCACTCCCGCCTTGGGGGAGGGGAACATGGAAGGCCAACTTGCCTTTTGTTATGTCCTCAGTAAAGATTCGCGTATTTGAAAGAGATGCTGGACACCTTTGTGCCAGATTCACAAAGATGGGGAGCACTCCCTCCAGCCTCCATTAGGGAAGGTGAGTGGGAGAAAGGGAGGGAGGTCCAGAAGGAACCCCTCTTCAGGCCTGGGCCTCTGGGGAGAGGCGGAACCTCACTGTCTGCAGGGCGGTTAGCTGGGGAGGCCTTGGAGGAAGGGCACAGGAGGGGAAGAGGCCGGGCAAGCTCTTTTCCACTCTTTGCTGGTGCAAGGATGTGTGGTGCTCTTGCGGGCCAGGTGGCTACCGGGGAAGGCACTCTAGCTGGAGGTCCCTTGATGGGACGCAGCCAGGAGGGCTATCTCGGAAGATGAGGAATGCCGGCACTAAGAGACATGATGGGGGCAGCAGTGCTGGGGCAAGAGCTGAAGAGAGGGCCCTGGAGGTCAGCTGTGAGCACGCTCCTTGGATGAAGGAACAAGGCAGGGGTCCTGGGAGCACCGCTGAGAAATCCGCCGATGTGTCCCCATGGAGGAGCTGTTAGAAGCCTGCCAGAGGACACTCGCTGATGATCAGCCAGTACACGCAGGGAAAGAACCACGGCCAGCAGCAGCAGAGGTGAAAGGGAGGAGGGAGGTGAGGACGGGAGCAACCAGCCTCCTCCCTTTCCCCACTGCCGGTCCCTGGGCCACGAGGTCAGGTATGAGCTGGACTGAACGCGGGGCAGGGGGTGGAGGCTCTTTGAAGAGAGGACAGCACTGAAGCTTTGGTTTCCAGCAGACGGAGTCCTCTCTCAGCAGGATGGCGGGTCCTGTGGGGCCTCCCCCTGAGCCAGCGGGGCCCGGCCCAGCCACCGGAAGGAACTACAACCTTCCCATCCACAGCCTTCTCTCCCACCGGCCTGGGTACCGGCCGCGGCTTCCAACTTCCTCTCCCCCTGCTGCTGCATTCTTGGAAAGGCCCTACCCATCTGCTCTGCTCTGGGCTTAAACGTTTTGAGGGCAGGGGGACCCCAGACTGAGGGAACTAGAGGAGCCGTAAGCCCACAAGTCTATTAGAGAACCAGGGAAGCCCAAGAAACGCTCAAGGCCCGACCCCAGAACAGGGGTAGGGGTGGGCTGGGTTGAGGAAGGTGGTGAGGGGTGACGAGAAGAGGGAGGCCCTCACAGACACTTCAGGACCGGGCAGCCAGCGGCCGGGATGGGGACCAGGTCAGGGGTGTGCTGCCTCCAACTGTGAGGGGGGCCGTGCCAGCAGCCCCCAGCCATTTCAAGGGGGTGTCCAGGCAGCTCCCTGCTGTGCTCCAGCTCCAGGGACACAATCAGAAGTACGTGCTGCTCGTGAAGGTCACCCCTGGGCTGGAAGTTCTTCCTGAAGCCTCTGTTTCCTTTTCTGAAGGTGCTGACTCCAGAAACCTGGTGGGAGCCGGAGGCCGTCACCGGCCGGCCACGAATGGGTCCCGTGGCAGCGTCCTTCACCGCCCCTCCCCCAGGGGAGGGGACCTGGCCCAGAGCCAGTCGGATGCGTGTGGCTCCCGAGGCCCCCGTATTGGCCTCTAAGCAACAGAGGACACATAGTGAGGTGGGGGCCTAGGCTTCAGAGAAAACGAGCAGCTCACCGTGGGTGGGGCTCCTCCTCCAGCTCCTTGATGGTGTCCTTCAGGGGCTGGCCCCGTGTCTCCGGCAACAGGGCACAGAGGAAGCCTGCCCCGATGGGGAGGCTGCCGTAGATGAGCATAGGGAGGGCTGCCTGGTACTCGCCCAGCAGGCTCACGAGAGGGGTGAGGATCCCCCCGATCCTCGAGGAGATGCCCATCAGCCCCATGCCTGTCTGCCTGTGGGAAGGCCCGTCCGACTGAGCACACCCAGCCGTGACCCCCGGGCCACAGCCCCACCCCCGCTGCGCCTTGGGGGGGGGGGCCCAGCCCCTCATTATGGCCCCGCAGGCCTGCCGCCTCCCCAGCCTCACTGGCCTTCTGCTCTCTGCTCCTGCATAGTAACTTCGTGTAGTCCGGCCGCGTGCCACGCCTCTCTCACCTCCAGGCCTGTCTATCTGCTGCCCCCCTGCTCGCCTACCAAGTCTCAGGTCAAAGGCTGCACCTCACGTCTCCCCAGCAACCCCTGAGTGTTCCTCCTTCTGAGCCATTCATTCTTACACTTGCTCCATATCCCAGTCTCCACAAGGCCAGGGCGTGCCCTCCTTCTGTATCTGTCCTCCACTGCCTGGGATAAGATGGGGACTCGGGCTAGATTCCTAGCTGCCCGGACCCCGTCCGCGCTGCTGCCCCGCGAGCCGGCCTCATAAGCCAGCTGCCTGTGGGACAGGGGTGAGGGCAGAGGAGCGGGAGGGGTGAGGGCAGAGGGCGGCAGCCCTTACCGGATGACGGTGGGGAAGAGCTCGGCACAGTACACGTAGGAGATGGTAAAGCTGGCGGCCATGGCGAACTTGCCCGCCACGGCCAGCACAGTGACCACCACCGGCAGATCTGGGGGAGGATGCCGGTCAGCCGCAGGCAGGTGGACAGCCCCATGCCCCGGGCCCCACCCCTGCCCTGTCCTCCCGAACTCCTGGCCCCCTCTGCTCCCGGGCCCCAGGGTTGCCCTCACTCCTGGAGGTGGGGGGGGGGGTGGTGGGGAGGGCAGGAATGTGGCAGAGCCAGCCCCAGCACCTGCTGGGACAAAGACGATGCCGATGCACACGAGGCCACCCAGAACCAGAGTCAGCATCTGGCTCCACTTGCGGCCCAACCACTGCATCATGAAGATGCTGAGGCAGCGGGCGGGAACCTCCACGGTTCCGAAGACGAGCTGCGTCAGGTAGATGTCCAGGCCAAAGTCGCCGACTTGGAAGCTCAGGCCAAAGTACCCCAGACTGTCCACAAACCTGCAAAGTGTCCAGGAATCCCTATCACTGCTGGGGGATGAGACACCAGCCCTCTCAGAGGGAGCCTGTCTCTGAGCAGGAGGCAGCAGCACAGCCAGGGAGAAACCCAGTGAGGCCACACAGCCCGTCCCTGACCGCCAGCCACCGTGTCCCAGCCACTGACGCGCACGCACCAGAGACGGGAGAGCCCTTTGGCGTGGGCTTCAGGGCGGGGTGCGGGCCCTGGCGCGCTCACCAGACATAGAAGAAGATCAGGGTCAGTTTCCGGAGCCGGGGGTGCCTGAACAGATCCAGAGGATTCCCTGAGGGGGCTGTCTTCTCTGGGACCAGCTGGGGGCACGATGCACAGTGAGGGGCCAGGCACAAAGGTCTGGGCCCGCCAGAGTCAGGGGCAGGGCTGGGCTTGGCCTGTGAGAAGTACCTGGCTCAGGAGCTCTGGGGAGAGTTTCCGCCTGTTGACGGAGGCCGCCTTCTGGATCACTCGTTTGGCCTCCTCCACCCTCCCTCTTGTCAGAAGCCACCGTGCTGACTCTGGCAGAGCCCTGCAGGTCAGGAATGGCTCTGACCTTGGAGCCCCCCCCCCCCCCCCCCCCCCCACTCCCCCAGGGGCCTTCCCAGCTGTTCCAGGGCACACAGAACCTCACACCCATCGCACTGTGGAGCGTTCCCCGAGGTGAATGTGAGTGTTGCGCTCCAATCACACCCCCGCACAGCTAGCAGGGGCAGGTGGGGAGGGGGAAACGGCTTGCTCCTGGGAAGTACTCCTCACCAGATGTAGAAGAAGAGTAGCAAGACAGGTGCGGTGCCGGCCATTTGGAAATACCTCCAGTTTCGGACGCCATAGGCGAGTCCTGCTAATGCCATCTGACCCAGGGAGAAGGCGCACTGGACCAGGACCACGGCCTGAGTCCTCCTGGAGGGCCCCACCCACTCTGTAACTGTGCGAACAGAGAGATGAGACCCGGCCCGCCCCCCCCCCCCCCCCGCCACCCACGGGCCCCCGGCTCCTTCCCTGTCATTCCCTAGACGGTCTTCTGTCAGGGTGGGCCTCAGTCCCACTTGCGGTGTGGGTGCCTGACAAGGCTCCCCCCGGAGGCAGTCCGGGAAAGTGGCCGGCCCAGACCCCAAGGCCTCACCCCATGCTTGAAGGCTTAGGGACCCAGATACTCACGTAGGGAGATGTTGCTGAAGGCGAACCCAGAGACAGCAGTAGCCACAGCAAAGCGCAGGACCATGTAGAGCTCAAAGCTGGGCACAAAGGCCGTGGTCGGGCCGAGGAGGGCGAAGAGTAGCAGCTGCACCAGGATACTGACCTTGCGGCCAATCCTGGAGTAACAGAGGGGCAGGAAGTACGGGAGACCCAGCCCTGCCCTGGGCTCTCTGTCTGACAGAGGACACGTGACCCTGCCCTGCGAGCTCTGTTTGAGGGAGAGGGGAACAGGGCCTTATCCCAGACACCAGTGAAGGGCACGGGGGCAGGGGGGGGGCGAGAGGGGGAACTGTACCGGGAACATAGGAGCATGCGAGGTCAGGGGCAAGCCGGTCAAGTTCCTACCGGTCACAGAGGGGCCCGAAGATGAGAGCCCCAGTGAGGAGCCCAGCCATGAACACCGACTGCGAGGTCTCCTTCAGGTGCTTCTGACCACAAACGAGGTTGAACTGAGGCAGACACAGGCAGGTGTGAACCAGGGGCAGCCAACGGCAAGTCCTTTGTCGTCCAGCCCACCCACGGCAAACCTCTCAGGGCAGATGCCCGTGGTTCCCAAAGTGTGTGCGAAGGCACCCCAGGGCACCAGAACAAATTCATGGGGCACAGAACGACATTCGGAATTTTAAAGGAAAATGCAGCAATCCTCAACATCTGTCTGGCATTACAAGAACTACCAACTAAGGACAGTTCTGGTTCAACATGAGATCACGCTACATTCCTTCCAGTGACATCATATCTATGTGAAGCTGTATTTTGGGGAGGTGTTTTGAAAAAAAAAAAAAAAAAAGCAAGCACCATGGGGAATGGAAAATGAGGGGGTCAGTGTTTAAGGACAGAAGTTGCACAGTTCCCAATGGGCACATACATCCTATTAGTAGGGGGTTGTATTTATTTAAAGATGAAAAATATAGGGGCGCCTGGGTGGCGCAGTCGGTTAAGCGTCCGACTTCAGCCAGGTCACGATCTCGCGGTCTGTGAGTTCGAGCCCCGCGTCGGGCTCTGGGCTGATGGCTCAGAGCCTGGAGCCTGTTTCCGATTCTGTGTCTCCCTCTCTCTCTGCCCCTCCCCCGTTCATGCTCCGTCTCTCTCTGTCCCAAAAATAAATAAACGTTTGAAAAAAAAAATTTTTTTAAAGATGAAAAATATGGAGTGCCTGGGTGGCTCAGTCGGTTGAGCATCTGACTTCAGCTCTGGTCATGATCTCACGGTTTCTGAGTTCGAGCCCCGCGTCGGGCTCTGTGCCGACAGCTCAGAGCCCGGAGCCTGCTTCGGATTCTGGGTCTCCCTCTCTCTCCGCCCTCTCCCACTTGCGCTGTCTCTCAAAACTAAATAAACATTAAAAAAAATAAAAAAAAAATTAAAATGAAAGATATTTCCTTTCAGTTTCTGTGTATTATTTTTTAAAACAGTTCCTAAGTCATTTGAACATAATTACCTGTTAGGTTGTTTGGCCCTAATTACTCAATACATAAAACTTAGGTTTTTATTTTGGCTTGGAGATGCCAGGTAGAATTGCTGAGGCATTAAGGATACAAAGTTTGGAACCCTTGACACGCCACTACTTACTGCTTCCTGACAAATGGGGCCTCTAGCCCACAGCCAGAGCACCCCTGTGACTTCCTTGGGCCTCATCAAATGTCCCCATCCGGCTGCAAAATCTCCGTGAAACTCTCACCATTCACTGCCGGTGAGAATCCCAAGGAGCCCTCACGCCCCACTTGCAGAAGGAGATCAAGACGGAGGAACACGCACACGCGTGGGCGTGCGTGTGGGCGCTCATGTGCCTGCACACACAGGGGTGGGGCGACCCACTTGGAGACTCAGAGAGACTGAGAAACTGAGTGGAAAAAATATGCACGTTCGCCTAACTCTGTAGGTATCTACTGCATGTGCACATACTGTAGGCACATGTGACTGACCCCGCCCCCCTCGACTGGTCTGTGGGCCCTTCCGGGAGTTCTGTGCCCCCTGCACACAGCTCAGCTCCTGACGTGAACGTTGGTGGGGGGAAACACGACAGGTGAGTTGTCCTCTGCGGCTCAAGGTGATAGCTTCACAATCACTGATGCCGTTTGAGGGCTCACTCTGTGCTGGGCAGTCTGCTGCATGCTTCACATGTATTATCTAATTCTGACACCAATCCTTGATTTATTATTCCATTCCCCTGAGGAAGAGGAGGTTAAGCGGCTTCTCCGAGGTCCCGCTGCTGGATGGCAATGGAGTTCAGGCATCCCTTTTGCCCCAGACAGGGACTGAAACTGCGTGAAAGCTCAGAGAACGTTTGCTGAATGGATCAACACATGAATACCTAGAGCTAGCCAACTAGCCACTCATCATCGGTCAAAATCGCTAAAATCATTTTAGCAAGAAATGAATCAGTCCAGGAGATACCATTGTGCTCATACTTCTGTTCTCAAGAACAACTGTTAATTTTCAGTATATGTCCAATGATTGCCTAATGGCCCCTGGGAGTGAAAGGGGGCAAGATAAGGGATCTGAACTTGTTCCACCTAGTTCTATTCTTTTTTTTTTTTTTTTTTAACATTTATTTATTTTTGAGACAGAGAGAGACAGAGCATGAACGGGGGAGGGACATAGAGAGAGGGAGACACAGAATCTGAGACAGGCTCCGGGCTCTGAGCTATCAGCACAGAGCCCGACGCGGGGCTCGAACTCACAGAGTGTGAGATCATGACCTAAGCTGAAGTCGGACGCTCAACTGACTGAGCCACCCAGGCGCCCCCAACCCAGTTCTATTCTGTTTGGTTTTTGTTTAGCAACCACAGAGTGCCTTTGTAGTTAGACGCTACTTAAAATAACTCATAAAGGCCTGCTGCTATCAGCCTCTGGAATCTGAACAGAGAGGCTTTGTGGGACTTTGTTAACCTATCTGTTGGTGTCTTGGTTTCTCATGTACAAAATGGGGATAAAATATACTGCATGGTGTCCCCCAGCAGGATTAAAGGAATTAATGCATGGAACACGTTTAGCACGGTGGCTGTCACACAGGAAGTCCTCAGTAAATGTCAGCTCAGCGGAGGGGGCACTGGCCCCCCCGTGCTCATGAAACTCACAGCTGGTGACCGACACCTCGGACACACGGGGCTATAGTGCTCTGAAGGCATGGATGCCGACCCCAGGGAGACTTCCGAGGCTGGTGCCCCTACTCGGTGGCCACCACTCGCCAACCCCTTATAGCTTGTGTACCCCTTATTTCATGCAGTCCTCATTCTAACCTCGTAAAGGATTATCATTCCCACTGTGCAACCACAGAGGCCAAAGCTTGGAGAGGTGCCGAGACGTGGTGTGCAGATGGAACAGAGACAAAAGGGCTCCCCACCTTGGGACGCCAGCCATTACCTTCTCCGACCCTAATGCCCAGAGTGGAGGGTTCTGTCTGGGGCTTGCCACATGGGCACACAGAATCCCGCCCCCATTCTTGGAGCACACACATCACATCTTCCTCCCCTGTTCCAAAAGCTTCCATGGCTCCCTTTGGTCTCTAGGAGAGAGCCCAAATCTCTCAGCTCTGTATCTAAGACCGTGGAAGAGTCATCTCTTCCTGATTTCCCAACATCTTTGTTGGTCAGCATTCCTCAGTCATGGCAAGCATTTTCATGCCTCCGGATCTAGAAACGGCTATTCTCTCTGCTTCCCCTTCCCTCCCATTCTTTTCCCCTTTCTGGGCCCAAGACAGATCACACTGCTCTTAGTCATTCAGAGTCTATTTCCCTCCCGATTCCAAGGTTCATGTGGACAAGGCTGGGAATTATTTTTTTCTTTTACCAAGGACGGGCACCCAGGAAATGTTGGGAGGTAGATTGAGAAGGAGAAATGCACTCTGCTCTTCAAGAATACCTAGCCTATAAGGCAATGTGCTCTTTTCTTCTCAAATTAGGACTATCCATATTTCAGTTTGAATATGAAGCTGCTGGTTATCAGAAGGAACGTTGGGAAGTCAGCTCAGAGAGACTCCCCCGAATCAGTGTGGTGGAGCCCCTCCTCACAGATGGGAAGCAGAGGGAAACGATCTCACGCAACAGAGCTCTGGAAGCAAAGTTGGACTCGGCACGCGGGTACAGGGCACAAAGTACCCAAGGTGTGCACTCTTTTGGGAATCCAAGTCCTTGAGAGTGTTGGAGCAGGAGAAGCATGGTAGGGAAGGGCAAGAGGTCCAAGGCCCAATGCCGGTGGTGGCACAGTCCAGGTTGGTGATTAAAGACCAAGAGGGCAGCCTCAAATCCTTAGAGAACTCGAACAAGGTGCCTCCCTCCTCTGACTGTTCCCTGCACAGTTAATACTCAGCAAGCCTTAGCTGAATAAAATTGCACGAACAGTCCAGCACAGGGTGTGAACGGGGCTAAAGAAGTCTGGAAGTCTGAGAAGTCTGGAAGTTTGCCTGGGTTTTGAGGATGGTGTTTGGCCAGGTAGGCACCCACAGCATATGGGGACCAGTGGAGGCTGATCCTATCAAGAGGGTGATGCTGGGAACCTGGAGAGGCCACTGGGGACCAGACCGGGCTCTGCTGGGAGAGCTCCTAGGCCGCATGCGGCTCTATGGAGCAGAATGGGGTGGAGGGTCAGGAGGAAGACAGGCAGGACAGATCTTTAGGCTGCAAGGGTTCTGGGGGCAGGTTTATGGTCACATATTAAAAGTGAATGCCTGGGGGTGCCTGGCTAGTTCAGTCAGTAGAGTGTGCAACTCTTGAGCTTGGGGGTTGTGAGTACAAGCCCCAAGTTGGGTATAGAGATTACTTAAAAATTGAAAATCTTAAAGAAGGTGCCTTTGGTCAAAACATCATTCTCTGAAAGCCTCTAAAAAGTAAATACTTTTTTTACCTGCAGAGAAAAAAATAAATGCAGGTTTCTGGACTCCAGATTCCCCTCTCCACAAAGGCTCAGGATTCACCACCCTCAAGATGAGTCATCCAGACCTCCCAACAACACTCGCCCCTTGGATGCTGGACCATCTGTGCTCTTTCCCACTCCTGCGGGGACCTGAGTGGGAGTCCCACGTCCATGATCAGCTCATTATGTTGCCCTGGACAAGTCGTCTCCCTACTGTGTGCCTCAGACCCAGCTTCTGGGAAGCAGCAGAGTGGGCCTGGATGCTTCCAGAGAGCCGTCCTTGCTCAGGTGGCTGGAGTGGGAATCTGTTTATCTGCCCAGATCCTCCCTAAGAAAATGAGTTAAGCAGAGCAAGTGCTGTTATCTGCCGGACAAATCCTAGAGTCACAGTGCGTCCGGTCCCCTGGAGGCAGGTGGGGAGAGCTTTAGAGAGGGCAGCTGAAGGGCAGGAAGCCCACATCAAGCAAGCAGGAGGTCAGACAAGTGGATGGGGATCCAGGAAGATAGGTAAGCAGGCAGATATGCAGGGGCAGACTGAAAGACAAGGGCAAGTGGACCGACAGATGGGAGCACTGGGGAGAAAGACATAAAGACAGGAAAGCAGGGAAGGGATAGGAAAAAGGTCAGGCAACTGGGCACACAGGCGGATAGATGGACAAAAGGGTAGACAAAAATGGACAGAGGGGCAGACAAATCAGAGACAGAATATGGATTGAAAGGTAGATGGACCAGTAGTCAGAGGACAAAGAGAAAAGCAGGATGAATGGCAAAAAAAAAAAAAAAAAAAAAAAAAAGCCATACCAAGTGGTCAGTCATTCGTGGATGGGTGCTCCAGGGCAGATACAGAAGCAGCAACACCGGCAGCTGAGGGCAGATGGTCAGGCAAAGGAGCTGACCGACCCCAAATGGGCAGACAGGCAAAAGGGCAGCCCTACCTCGTTCTTTAGGGACAGGGGCCTGTCTTCAGGATACTCCCAGCCTGCCTCACAAGGCTGCGTCTCGTTGAAGTGGTGGCTGAGGATGTCCTCCAGGCTGGCGTCGTCAGGGGGCGGCCGGAACATAAGGCAGGACTCAGGCTTGCCTGCAGCATCCAGGGGCACGCTCAGTGTCAGCTGTTCAGCCACACTCAGGTTCAAAGTGTGGTTCTTGACCCAGGCTACTGAGCAGTGGTGGGTCTCGTGCTGGATCATGAAGACCTGGGCAAACATGTAGTAAGCGGACAGGAAGCCGGGAATACTCAGAAGCATCACCAGCTGTATCTGGAAGCGACCAAAGTCGCCTATTTCAGCCAGGACCTGGCCAAATTGAGCCATGTCTACTGGTCAGCCTGGGGCCATAGACAGCTCTGCAGCTCGGCTTTGGGGCGCTTACTCCTCTGAGCAGAAGTGACGGCTGTGTTAATGTTTAATCCAGCCTTTGACCTGTCACACTTCAACTCCCTGGCTGTAGCCTGGGCAGGATAGAATATGATAAAAAAAAAAAAAGGAGTCTACTCTGGTTTGCAAAATGCAAGGATGCTTTATGGACCGTGCGATGGACACAAGCCCCACAGAAGGACTTTCTCAGGCCCCGCACAGGAACGAGCTTCAGCCAAATGTTCGACGGTGCACAAGCAGCATTTCCTCCCATGTCATCCCAAACAAATCACACCCAGCTCAAACCCCTCCCATGATGATAGACCCCAAATTCTAAGGGTAGTTCTGACACTTAGAGGGACACAGAAGTCCCTTCTAGGGACCAGCTCAGAATAGACAATGGGGGTAAATCAGGAGAGGAGCAAGGACCCAGCCTGCCTACTAACTTGGTCAGCTGCCAAGTCTGGCCTCTTGATCTGCTGATCTTATCTTTCTCTTATTTTTTTTTATTTAAAAAAATTTTTAATGTTTTCTTATTTTATATTTGAGAGACAGAGACAGAGCATGAGCAGGGGAGGGGCAGAGAGAGGAGGAGACAGAGTCCGAAGCAGGCTCCAGGCTCTGAGCTGTCAGCACAGAGCCGGACTTGAGGCTCAAACTCACAAGCAGTGAGATCGTGACCTGAGCCGAAGTCAGACGCTTAACCAACTGAGCCACCCAGATGCCCCTTGTCTTTCTCTTAGCGGTGATGGGCATGTGGTAGGACACCGTGAAGTCCAGGAGACCTACCAACGGCATAAGCTTACCAAAGGCAATCCGAGAGCACACAGCAATTACAGAAGAACCACGAGTTGCATTTTGAGCTCTACTCTGATCCAGGAACCATTAACACCTTCCCAAAATACACAGGCAAGCTGCTCCAGGGTAGCTCCAGTCCCAACGGGCAATCTCAGTGGTAACAGAGGAACACAGGACAAAGCCTCCCCACACCACAGCAGCAGCTGTGGACGCCCTTGCTGGCCTCAAGGCTGGAATGGGGCTCATGGTGGCTGATAGGTCAGGATTCTTACAGGACTGGAGGCTAACAGGATCTCTGACAGGAGGAATCTCCCAAAGATTAAAAAGTCTCCATCCTTTCTATGCTGGAAGAGGTCTACTGCAGGTAGACCCAGGGCTTGGAGAGCACCTCGTTCAGTCATAGGAGGTGGGGAATGATAGGACTAAAGACAGCATTTGGGAAAAATACACACGCATGCGCACACACATACACACATTCACGTAGTTGTCTGTGTGTGCATAGGAAAGACTTCTTATGTTTTGGATTTTGAACCATTTTAAGAGAGGCTGAGCAGCACAGGTGAAGGGAAGCAAGGCTGCACGGGGCGGTTCTGGACACGGCATGCCTGCATCTGCCTGGCCACCTGGCTGGCACAAATGTTGGCTCCTTGTTAATCCGCCAGCATGCAGGGCAGGGCAGGGCAGGGCAGACTGTGAAGGGCAGAGACATGGGCCCGAGACCCCGCGTAAGGAGAGGACCTCTCTCTCTGCCCCATCCCAAAGTCCCCACCAGGCTCACTGCTGTCCCCAGCTCGATCTTTTCTTCCTCACTTAGCTTTCTCGGATGTGCTTGTGCTCAGCGTCACCTTGATTGAATTGTCAAGAAAACAGACGTTGCAGGTTGTCACTGCCCCATGTGGTGTCCCCCTGGCCGGGGAGAACTGAGATGGAGACGTGAGCCTGTCCTCAGCCCTCGTCATCTTCTTACTCGAGTCGGGGAGATTTTTGCTTCTTTGGTTCCAAGCAGTGGGGGCTGTTGCAAGGAGGCAGGAAGCTCAGGCACTGTTATTGATTCCCTGTGATCCTGAGTTTGTCCCTGTTAAGAAAACAAAATTCAGCCGGGCAGATTGAAAGATCTAATTGGCTCTCCTCAATGATTCATGAATTGGGCAGCATCCCATCTGGCAAGTAGAAAGGAGTTCCAAGGAGCCGTACAAAACGGAAGAATTTAAAAGCAGAAAAGGACAGAAGAAAGAAAATTTCCAGCAAAGAGTGGGTTGTTTGTGGCAGCCACCCTCCTTTGGGGCAATGAGGGGATCTATCAGGCGGATTACCTCACTGGTGCTGATCAGGTAGTTCCAGATTGACTTATTTAAGGTCACATTCCTGGGAGAGACTAAAATTGCAATGAGGTCAGGTGTTACACTTTGGTTTGCTGATGTGGGCTTAGCACAAGGGACTCTATTTGAGGCCAGTGGTTTCTTTTTTAACAAGTCCTCCTTTCGATCAGACTCGAAGCTTACCTAGGCGGTGGGATCAAAATGCAAGGCGTTAATGCCACCCTCAGCCACCACGCTGTAGTTCTCACAATTTTTGTTTGTTCTGTATGGTGTTCACAGATCAGGATGTATTTTGCTGAATCTCTGTGGTGGTCACAGACCGTGACTTGAGGCTCATAATTTTTTAGTTGGCTTTTCTCTTTGTTCCTTTTTTGACAGTCCAGTCTTAGGGAGATCATTTGCTCGGTGTTTCGTGGCAACAAACGTGCATTTAAAGCTTTTGAGAGAACACAGTGTGGCAAGGAGACTGCTACGATTACTGTAAGCAGGGTAATTCCCAACGTCTCACTTCAGAGCCATGGTCCCCAAGACCCCAACCAATCAAAATCAAATAAGTCAAAAAAGGATCCCATAAAAGAGTCATCTTTTTAAGCCAAGTGGTTTGCCCAGTGGTCTTATGTAATTGAGTTTTAACTTCCCCAGAAACACTAATCCAGGTACAGCCGGTGGTGTTGGCTGTAGCACAGATACTGAAAGGGCGGGCCTACACCGGCTGACTCCATCTTGTTCTGTGTCCTTCACCCTGAACACGCCTCCTCCCCTTGAGTAACCTCCCGCTCACCTGCCTAACAGGACTCCGACCCTTCCCCAGCCAATCGGCTGAGGCCACAGCCATTACCTCACCAACTGCCCCTAGGCCCCAATAAAACCTTTGTCCTTTTGAAACTAGCTCTCTCTCCCTGGTTATCTCACCGCTGCGTCGGTGCAGGTAGGGGATTGAGCTGGAGCTAGCTCGAATAAAGGCTCTTTTGCTTTTACATTGGACTCGGCTCCCTGGAGGTATTTGGGGACCACGAATTCTGGGCATAACAATACCTTCTTGCTTGGCTAAAAGATAATCAAAGGCCATCCTATTGGCAAGAACAACTTTGGCCAGTGAGTTTAAGGATCTTTGTTGGTACCTCTTGCTATGGCAGCAGATTCCACAATACTTTCCAGAGTTAAGGAGAGTTTCCTGATGATAGCCTCATTTGTATTCAGTCCTAAGTAGAGAAACAAGGACCTCCAAAGGAAGCAAATCTCCTGGTAGGTGCTTTCCAACTTAACAATATAAATTCAGGGGAGTCAACCAATGAGGTGTCTGTGAACAGCTAGGGGCACTGCTCAGCTGTGTGCCAGCTATCTGCGCATCCAAAGGTCCAAGGAGGTGATAACCACCACAGACATAGAAGATCACGCACCTCCGGGGATTGATGACTCTGCTGTCTGGGCTCAAGCTGCCATGCCCGAAGAACGCCCAACGTGGGATTTCACCACAGAAGAAGGACAAGCCCATATCCGACGATACCAGGAAGCCCTCCTTCGGGGAATCTGAGCTGGAGCCAAAAGGCCTATGAACATGACTAAAATATCATCAGTCACGCAGCACCCTGGGGAGTCTCCCAGAGACTACTATGAAAGATTATGTAAAGCATACCATGTATACACCCCGTTTGACCCCGAGGCACCAGAAAGTCAACAGATGGTAAATGCCTCTTTTGTGGCACAGGCTGCCCCAGATATCAGAAGAAAACTCCAGAAGTTGGAAGGCTTTGCTGGGATGAATATCACTCAGCTGATAGAGGTCGCCAACGAGGTTTTCATGAACAGAGAAGTCGCAGCTGAAAGAGAAGTGGAGAGAAGACTAAAAAAGAAGGCCACTCTTCTCGCAAGAGCACTAAAAGAAACAGACGCTGCGAAGACGGGAAGACCCCAACCACCTTAGCAAGGGACCAATGTGCATACTGCAAAGAGAAGGGACACTGGAAGAATGAATGTCTGAATTGGAAGGGGCCCTCAAAACCCAGCCGATATCGGAAGGAACCTCGAGGCAAGAACCTCGTTGGTCTGGCCGGGGTAGAATCAGACTGAGGGCGACTGGGCTCTTTCTCTCTTGGCCCCCATGAGTCCATGGTCGAAATGAAGGTAGAGGGCCGAACAAGAACTTTCATGGTTGACACTGGGGCTGAATACTCTATTGTTACTTCCCAGGTGGCGCCCTTCAGCCAAAAGACAGCAACCATACTTGGGGCTACTGGGACACGGGCGATGCAGCAGCCCTTCTGTCAAGCTCGACAATGTGAACTTGGGGGTCATGAGGTCCAGCATGAGTCCCTCTACTTACCTGACTGCCCAGTTCCTCTCCTGGGCCGGGATCTGCTCTCCAAACTTGGGACCCAGATAACTTTTGAACCCACTGGACACACTAGTCTCCAATTAAACCCAGGGCAGGAGGAAACCCGGGTCTTGGTGATTACCCTGCCAAGGGAAGAAGAATGGAGACTATTCTGCACACGGGACCTACCCTGTAGCCCCTCAGAATTCAGGCTTACATTCCCCTCTGTATGGGCTGAAGACAACCCACCTGGACTAGCTTGAAGTTGGGCCCCCATCATTGTTGGCCTAGCTTGGAGTTGGGCCCCCATCATTGTTGACCTGATCCCTGGAGCCCAACCTCAGAGACAAAGGCAGTACCCTTTTCCACTCGAGGCTAGAATGGGTATACAAGAGCTCAGTGACCAAGCTCAGGGAAGCAGGTACTCTAATTGAGTGCCAGTTGGCTTGGAATACTCTGCTCTTGTCAGTCAAGAAGCCAGGAGAAGGATACCAACCAGTACAGGATTTGAGGGCCATTAACAAAGTGACTGTTTCCTTACACCCAGTGGTTCCAAACCCGTATACTCTCCTCAGCCAAATTCCAGGGTCAGC